CTTTATATCGCCTTGACTTCCTCTCCATGTGAGAAATCTATGTCTACATTTTTTAAGTCCCTCTTTTTTGTTTTACTGTTGTCATCTTTTACATATTGACATCTGTTTCCCTATTTTCAGTGTTTTAGCTTTGATTTACTTTTGTGACTTCCCTATCTGGGTTGATAATCTGGTTGCTCTATCCTGTGTTCTAGTCGTGGGTTGTTATCTGATGTTACTGATTTTCTAATCGGAGGACTCCCTTTAGTATTTCTTGTAATTCTTGTTTGGTTTTTACAAATTCCCTAAACTTCTGTTTATCTGTAAATGCCCTAATTTCACCATCACATTTGAGAGACAGTTTTGCTGGATGTATAATTCTTGGCTGGCAGGTTTTTTTCCTTCAAGGCTTTATATATGTCATCCAGTTGCCTTCTTGCCTGAATGGTTTCTGCTGAGTAGTCTGAGCTTATTCTAATTGAGTCTCTTTTGTAGATGACTTTTCGTTTATCCCTTGCCGCTCTTAAAATTCTCTTTATCTTTGGTTTTGGCAAGTTTGATTATAATATGTCTTGGTGACTTTCTTTTGGGATCTACCTCATGTGGGGTTCGATGAGCATCTTGGATAGATATCTTCTCATCTTTCTTGATATCAGGGAAGTTTTCTGCCAACAAATCTTCAACAATTCTCTCTGTATTTTCTGTTATCCCCCTGATTCTGGTACTCCAATCACTTGTCAGTTATTTCTCTTGATAAAGTCCCACATAATTCTTGGGTTTCCTCATTTTTTTTAAATCCTTTTATCTGATTTTTCCTCAAATAAGTTGGTGTCAAGTGTTTTATCTTCAATCTCACTAATTCTGACTTCCATTGCCTCAATTCTGCTCCTATGACTTTCTACTGAGTTGTCTAATTCTGAAATTTTATTGTTAGTCTTCTAGATTTCTGATTACCGTCTCTCTATGGATTCTTGCAGCCTGTTAAATTTGTCATTATGCTCTTCTCTAATCTTTTTAATTTCCTCTCTTGCATGTTCTGCGTTTTGCTTAATTTCCTTCCTAATTTCTTGAAGAGTTCTGTATATTAATCTTTTGTATTCTGCCTCCAGTAATTTCAAGAAATTTTCCTCCTCTGGAAAATTTCTAGATTCTTTATTTTGGGCCTTGCTGAAACCATCATGATTCACCTCTTTATGTGATTTGATATTGACTGTTGTCTCCAAGCCATCAATAAGTTATTATATTTATTCATTTTATGTTTGCTTACTGTGTCCTAGCTTCTTGTTTTGTTTTGATATGCCCAAATAGGCTGCTTGTATGAGCTAGTTTGATTATTGGCACCTTTGAAGCTCTAATGTCCTGTCACCAGGTGTTTAGATCTGTTACTAGGAATGTGAGCTCAGGAGTCTGCCTTCTCTTCCTGTATGGATTCAGCTCAGGTGCCCAGGTAGATAGCAACCAAGTGTGTGGTGTAGGCTCTCACTTATAGTCCTAGACAGGCATGGGTGATTGGTGTAGGCACAGGCATCTGGCTGCAGCAGGGAGACACAGTCTGAGCAAGGCAGGGGGCTGTCAGCTGCCCCTGAGTTTCCAGGAGGAAGGCATGTCCCTGTTCCCTAGTGTAGGTGGGAGGGTTCTGCAGCTGGACTATGAGCACCTAATGCATTGGCTGTACTGGGGGGTACCTCTTATTCATGGGACCCTATCGCAGGTAGATAGTTGGCATGAGTGAAGCCACCAGTCCTCAGTCCCCTGATGTGGGTAGGTGAAGACCCTGCTTAATGGGCAGAGCAGTGTCAAATGTCAAGAACCTGCCACTTCACAGATGAAACAGTTGAAGTTAGAGTTCTGGTATATACCCTGTTGTGCTGCAGTAATGAGGGCCTTCGCCGTTGAAATGGGCCCACACAAGTGTATGCAGGGGGAAAGGCACTCAAAGTCCATGGATCCCTTATGCCTGTGGCTAGGCAAAGGAGCTGTGCCCACCCTGGGTTCCTGGCTTAGGGGAGCTGGCAGTTTATTTTTTCCCGTTTGTTAATTTGTTCACTCTCCAAGGCAGGGAGAATGTCTCTGGGCATGTGACGGATCCTACTTCTGGCCCAGAGGACTCAGCAATTGCTGAAGCTGGTCTGGGACCCAGTGCAGAGCAGGGAGCAGGGAGGTAAACGGGAGAGAGGTTTTCCCTAAGGGGCGTGTTTCTGACCTGCGCAGTAGGCCATACGCAAGTCCTTATCTTTTGGGGAGAGCTGTTTCTCACTGGTTCTGGGTGGCCGTGTAGAGTCTTTGGTGCTGGTTCTCTCCCAGTACAGAAAATGCACCACCCAAGCACAGCTGCTTGCCTGCCTCACCGCTCACCCCCGAGCTGATCAGGCCTGAAGAGCTCAGGCTCTCATCCGGTCAGGTCTGGCAACTCCTTGCTGCTTCAGAACCGTCTCTCCCTCCCCCTGCCACTCAGTCTAGTTCCTCAACTCTGCCTTTGATGTTCAGGGCTCCCAGACTGCCATATATAATTGAATCACTTGTTTTTTCCGGTCTTTGTTGTAAGACGGTCCACCGGAAGCATCTGACTACTCTGCCATCTTGGCCTTGCCTCCAAGAATTTTTGAGATAGTGGGATTTTTTTCTTCCAAGTGATCAGACTTATCAGTTGTTCTGGGATAGGTATGATGAAGGAAAAGGACAACTGCAAAGTATGATATCCCATAGTCCTCTTTTCTTCTACCCTCAGCATGGCCCTACTAATAAGAGAGTAGGTAGAGGCATGGTGAGGTCAAGGTGCTGAGGTGATGTGTGGTGTATAAATACCACCACACAGGAGATCCACACACAACCAGAGAAATCTAGCATTGTTTCAAATTTTGTACTCCAAGGCAAGGATGTAAGTAAGCTTAACTTAATAGCTTTTTATTATGGTTCCTTAGGCAAGTGTACTTATGGGTGTCATTTTAAATCATATATAGTAAAACTTGTGAAAGCCGGAACCTGTGTAAGGTGGAAACCTGTCAGAGAAGGAAAGCGCAAATAGATTCCACTAATAGAGAGTGATGGAAAAGTGGTGACTGTGCCCTGTCAAAGGTGGAAAACTTGCAAGACCCAAAAAACAAAGCAGCCCCACTGAGTTCCGGCTCTCATAGGTTTCACTGTATATTGTGTGTGCATGTGTATATGTGCATACGAATATATCCTTTCTGTAAGCAAAATTATTCCTAGCTTACATGATAAAATTTAATATTATATATTTTTCCATTCTAAGATTACATTTATCAAATGTTAGTATTTCTGAAATCTAGCTGCATCATAAAATCAATACGTGCACTCAATATTAGAATTTTTTTGCCTCAAAAATTAAATGAATGAAATAGCTTACAACCAGTGCTGTCTTGGAATTGTGGAAATAGGTAAATTATTACTTCGTGATGATTCTAGCTGTTTTGCCACATGGACAGTTTGGGAATGACTTACCATATGATCAGACACTGAACGTAATTTGAATAACCAGATAAACAAAACATTGTGCCATTTATATCAACCTCAATCAAGGTCCCTCTAAAGGCTGCATTTCTGTGTTACCACTGCTGAGCAAGGAAACAAGCAAGTGGCTCTTACCTTCTCGCATTGAGCTGCAAAAGGCAATGCATGAGACACAGGAGGAAACCAGCGTTGGAATTATAGGTGGCAAAGATGATGTCCCAGTGCTCCTGCAGATAGCTCAAGATGCTGAGGAGGCTGAGGCATTCGGAGAGGGACTGCTGGGCCTTGGAAAGGCAATACAGGATGACTTTATTCAAACTGCTATACAAAGCGCTGAGGATGGCTTCCCTTTGAGAAGCGATGCTCTCAATGACCTAGGGCATAAAAAAAAGACACACTCTCACACATTCTTGTGAACACTGTGATGTAGATACTAACCTAGCCAAATGTAAAAACGATGTGATCAAAAAGTGACACATTTCTAAAACTCAAATGGGACTAAGTTTCCTCCACCCTTAAGGTTCTATATAAGCCAATGATCAATAAAGGCAATTCAAACATTTCCGTTTACAAAAAACTTGTGTAAAACACACACAGACACACACACACACAAATTTTAAAAGCCCACCAAGGTCCTACAATGGAAAATAGGCCTGGGGACCAGTCCTATGAGTAACAAGGCAGACATGCAGTGTGTAAGGACATGCTACTAATAGTGCCTAATTTTTAAAACTAAAGAAAGGCCTGTCAATCTACTTCCAAAAAATCAGACATTGAAAACCCTATGGAGCACAGTTCTACTCGGACGCACATGGGGTCTTCATGCGTCAGACTGGACTCCACAGCAGCAACTGTTATTAATATTTAATACTTAACAATAATATTTTTAAGTAGTTAACATATATTGAGTGTTAACAATGTTCCAGGTAACAAGCTAAGCATTTTGCATATATTTACATACACTGCCTCATTTACACCTCATGACCACACTATGAAGTAGACACTGAGATTACCCCACTTTAGGGATAAGGAGACTGAGGGTCAAAGGGTCTAGGTGGTCAGCAAGTGTCAGAACAGGGCCTCAGATCCATGCCCACAGTCTTAACCGCCTCGCTATTTCCTACCACAGAAAGAGCCGGGTCTACAGGAGAAGGGGGTCCAGTGGATTTTAAATCATGAGAAATTTAGAGCGGTAAGCAGAAGGTCCTGAGTGCCACCTTAACACTGATTGGTTCATACTTATCTTTGACTTCAAAGTTCACAGAATAGGAATTGCATTTTTTTTCAGTCTATCAGAAAGGTTTTTGTGAGTGGTAGATCGCCCACTCGGAACATCACAGTAACACTCAAGTGTCTGTAATAATGGAGTTGTGTTTGCTTAGACCTGTTGGAATTTGGGGATTCCGTGTTTGTCACTGTCCTCCACCCTCCTCAGCAGGATCACATCTCTCACACTAAGGTGAAAGGCTCTGAGGGTCTTAGACACCCCAGAAGGCAGGCGCAGGCTCGGCCAGCATCCACTGCTTGGTCTGAGGTGCAATGGTTGAGAACTCAACTGCTAACCAAAAAGTTGGCAGTTCAAATCCACCAGCTGTTCCTTGGAAACCCTATGGGACAGTTGTACTCTGTCCTCTAGTGTCACTATGAGTCAGAATCGACTCAACAGCAACAGGTTTGATTTTTTTCTTTTTCTTTTTTGGTTCTGAAGAGATGAGCAGTGGCTTTGTCTTCAACACAACTTCCTAATCATCTGGTTTGAACCTCCCTCTGAGCTGACAAGGCGTATGTCTCCCTCCCGGAGTTAGTGTTGAAGAAGCTTTCTGAAGATGTTCTTTCAGGCCTGCCTGCCCTGACATTGGGTGGACAGACAAGGGCCCTGGGAGCTGTGCTGAGGCCGTCCTGGGGTACACAGGGGGGTCCTCACTTGCCAGGCATCAGGACACAGGTGGCAAGGGTCTGCGTGTGTCCCTGCGACCACAGATGCCTCCCAACAACCACAGGTGTGTCAATGGGTGGGGCAGCCTGTGCCGCAGTAAGGTCCCCATCAGAGAGAGGGTTCGAGCAAAAGGTGAATGGTAGTTTGTCAGGAAAGGTTTTCAGCACTCTATGGGAGGTGAGGGTCTAAAAAAGGCCCTATTCAAATCTACAACGTAGAGATTGTATAACTGTGTGTGAGTGCACACACACACACGCACGCGCACACACACACAATAGTACATCTTCTATAGGCATGCATTTGCATATATGGCCATGTATGCAGATCTATCCAGAGAGTCTAGGTAAAAATAGACTCTGGCCTCAATTTCAGGAAGGCAAAAATACGACAAATGGAGCAGACACTAAGGAAGAAATGAAATTGGCCTTTCGGAGATACAGACTTTCTTTGCCCTGTCCCAGCTTGTGTTTCTTTGTTGATGAGGAATAACAATAACTAAGGTTAAACCAATAATCACAAGCCCAAAGGTGCAGCTCTCAGGTGTACAGGCCCGAGGATCCCAGTCACTGAAACACATCTCTGCAGGCCCTCAACTGCTTCCAGGCACAACCTGGACCATCAGACTCATCCTCCTTCTTCCTGCCAGTCTCAGAGTCTATTTCCAGGAAGGCAGGCAGGTCCAGCTGGACCAACTGGACCCCAGCCAGGAGCTCATCTCGCAGAGCCAGAATGCTGGTGAGCTGGCAGGAGGCCAGGCCTGGGCAGCCCTGGGGTCCTTACCACCATGATGTGCTCTGTGATGAAGAGAAGGATGTGTCTGGGGTCGGCTGTGAACATCCCACTGTGCAGCTTCTCCACCAGCTTCTGGGTGAAGTAGGAGATGTTGGTGAGGGATGGAGTAGCAGCAGCTTCTGCATTCGGCTGAGGCTCCTTACCGCCTAGGGTGGGGAGAAGACCAAGACTGAGAAGTCACCTCTCTCAGTAACAAGATTGCTCTCAAACACGGAAACTTGCACACGCAGAAGAGGCCCACTGAATGCACATTTATTTGAAATAATTGATCCTGAATGATCTGGTCAGCGATGTAAAGCCAACCGGGGAGATGGCAAGTGAGGGGGAGCATTTCCTCCAGTGGCCATCCGGGAGGAGGGTGGGGGTGAATTTAAGGTAAATGGTAAATGAGAAGGCGGCATGGGGACCTAGGACCTTCCGCTGCGCTGGGCAGGGGTAAAGCCGTCGTCTCACTGCCAACCATCATGGCGGCACCGTGCTCCGACATGTATGTGGCCATCTTGTCGATCCTCACAACAATCCTACAACCTAGATCAGCTGTTAGCTTCACTCTGCGGGGCCAGGCCCTGGTCCAGAGTTTCCTGCCCTCCAGGGAGAGAGGCAAGATGCAAACCCAGAGCTAGGCTTTCGTAGTATGCTCTCCAACATCCTCCAGATACCCCACAAGAAAGACCACAAAGTGAAAGTCAAAGGATTGTGGGGTGTGTTGGAGTCTGGAAGAAGAGTTACATCGGTAGGGATTTCTATGGCTCAGAAACCACAGAAAGGGCTTTTGTTTAATCGGGTCAAGAAGGTACAGCTGCCCTGGAATTAAGCCTTCTGGATGAAGCCTCAGCCTTAAATTCTCAGGGGCAACCAAGTCTTCATCCAGGTTCCTTTTTAAAAAACACTTTCTGAGTCCCTGTTCTGTGTCGGAGCAGTAGGATCAAAGAGGAAATCACTAAGCAGAAGAACTCCACACTCCAGTTAAAGTCCTGACTGCCCTTTTGGGAACGAGTCAAATTTCTGCTGAAGCTAGAGGAGAAGAAACTTTAGCTCAGAGGACAGAGAACTTTCTATCTCAGAGCAGCCGGGAGACTCAGGTGGAGGGCGCCATCGGATGGCTCCAGGGTTCTAACAATCCTCTAAGGTGTGAAGCTGTGGCTAGCAGGACACTCTTGCTTTCCTGTTCAGCTGCCATTAGCCACGTGTCAGAAGGGGTAGGGGCCTGCCACTCACCTCCCAGTACCGGCGCATTGCCTTCACTCATAATGTGAAATATCTCCATGGTGGAGAGCAGGACCTCAGACTGGAAGTCTCGCTTCTGTTGGCCAGTGGCACTGTCAGGAGAAGCCTGGAAGCACAGCACAGGGCTGAGTCAGCAGCCACACAGTCATTGTGTCCACTCAGGCAGTGGCTGCTGCTGCCCACCAGGTCCCTTGCCTGTCTCTGCACCCGTCCCTCAGCTGCCATGAGCATGGGCTGCTCACAGCTCACCACTGCCCCCCTACTGCGGCACTGGCCTCTGCTGACCGAACTGCCTCACCCGGAGGTGACACCCACTTCCTAGGGTGAGGGGCTGGGGAGCCCCCAGCCAATGACCACCTGGAAGGTGCTTCCACGTGGGGCCAACACTGTGGCCCAGGTAGCACATGTGTGGTCCCTTGGGACCAGGCTGCAGCCAGTCTCCAGCTGGGACCACCTCTTGGTTAGCCTTTCCCCTGTCCACTCTGGCTTCCCCATCTCCTTCTCCTGAGAGCACCCCGCCCCTCAATAAATAACTTCCACAAAGTCCCGCCTCGGCCTCTGTTTCCAGGGACTCTGGCTAAGACCTGCCCTAACCTATCTATTTGCCAGTTGCTTGCTGAGCTCTCGGTCACTCAGGGTCTGTGGTTCAGGAGGACCCCTCCCCACCACAGCTGTAGGCTGAGCCAGCACCTAAGACCTTGGCTCTGTGCTGTCCCCTCACCCACCCCCAGGCCTCCCCCACAGCACATGGCTGAGCAAGGCTCCTTGAGACCCACCTCCAGGAGCACCTCCAGTGGCAGCCACTGCTTGGGGGAGGAAGCCGACTTCAGGAGCCCCCTCAAGACAAGCTTTGTAAACATCCTCAGCTGCTTCCGAGCAGGAGCCTGGAGCTCCTCTGCAGGGCTGTGACCTTCGGCCGCAGCCCCAGGACTCCCAGCATTCCAGGTGGACTCAGCCATGGCCCCCTCAAAGAGAAGAGAACCCCAATGTGTGTGGCCTGCCCTGCCTCAGAGTCTTTTCATGTCTACCTCTGAGGTCTGCACAGGTGGGGTGGTCATCACAACCTTTTAACAGGTAAGGAAACTGAGGGTCCAAGGAGTGAGGTGGCTTGCCCGAAGTCTCACAGCTTATAAAGTGGCCCATGGGCTCTCTGGACCCGAGACAAGCTGGTGTCACAGAAAGAAGCTAAGCCACGGAATCTCAGAGGCCTGCGGTGCTCAGAGAGGAAGCCCATAAGTGCCCTGGGCAAGTTCCTTCACTCCTTTGCGCCACGACTTCTCATGGGTTAAATGGGGGTAATAAGAATGATATCACAAAGGATTTGTGAGAATGGAATGAAAGAGTAACATATGTGGCCCATGTCCAGCAGCTGGAATACGGTCAAAAGAGGTGGGTTTCTGTCTTCTGATGGAGATCTCACCCTTCCTGCCTGGTTAGGCCCAGCTGATGCTGACAGACAGGACCCTCAGGTGAGAAAGATGGAAAAGGAGGACTTCAGTGAGCTCTTTCATCTAAGTCCCTACAGTGCTCTGGATTCACTTCCTCCCTTTGTATTTATAAAAACATTGGGAAACAAATGAGACAGGAATCCTTGCCCGGGTACATCCAGGAGGGAACGGAGGTGCTGGGAGGCCAAATGACACATCCAAGGACACACGGCTGGAGATTCTTGACTCCCAGCCGCGTGAACTTTTCACGGCAGTTCTGCTGGCACCTCCCTCTGCTCATTCATAAAATTAATGCAGCCGTTCTTAATTAAGCCATAAAGTGAATTTAATGGTACCTAAGGGAGTGGTGACTGCATTAATTAGCTCCGGGTGGCCGTGACTGGCAAGATGCCATATAAATTCAGAGCAAATCAAAGCCTTTTGACTGGCCATCTGCATGAACAGGGTCTGTCGCATTTTCTGTACAACAAAGCTTGCTGAGGAGCAAACTCAGAGCTGGAACAAGTAAGGACGGGAGAGGAGAAGAGCTTTGGATTTGGAGCCAGGGACACCAAGATGGAGCCTGGCTCTGCTGCGGTCGGCTGGGTAGGTGACTTTGGGCCAGGCCCACCCCTGGCCAAAAACTGTTGACCTTCCATGGGGAGGAAGAGCCCAGGGTCAGAGTATGTGTGCAGCTGCTGGTGGGAAGCCAACTGGAACCCAACTCAGCAGATGGTGTGCTTTGACTGTGAATGTGAGGGGCAGAGGTGGGGATTTGGGTTGAGGATGTCAGTCAGGACTCCAACTCCTACACAAGACTGGTGTTGGGGGATGGTGACAGGGAACCTGTAGGATTGTCCTTCCTCCCTGCCAGGCCCAGTGGCTGCACTGCCTCTGTGTGCAGGTCCCACCCTCACCCCCTCCACTGCTGCCTGCAATGCCTTCCTTCGCTCTTGATTGCATCTCCCACCTCTTACTTTTCTAGAATGCTCCTAGAAACATTAGTTGATATCAATCCATCAAACTATTTTAAAACCATTTTATCTTTTTGCAAATCTTCTAGTCTTTATATTTAAATCTTTTTGTTAAAACTATTCATAAATTTTATTTGCACTGGCTGTCATGGAAAGGACTTGGGCTTTGGGTGAGAGGTTTAAATCTTGACTCTGTCATTTATTAACCACATAAAACATGGCATATTTCATTCTTACGAACTTTTTGTGAGGCAAGTCTTATCATCCCCATTTAACCTGAGGACACTGGTCAGCACCACTTTGTCCCTGTGAATTTCAGTTTCCTCTTAATGACACCAACTTCAAAGGGTGGATATGATGGTGAACTCTCCAGGCATATGCTAAGGGCAGGCTCAGGACTGACACATCCTAGGTGTTCAGTGGACAGTAGGTGTTCAGTGAACATGAACAGAAGCTGTCACCACAAACACACACCTGGAAAGAAATTACTCACTGCCGTTGATCAATTCCAGCTCATAGCAGCCCTACAGGACAGAGCAGAACTGCCCCATAGGGTTTCCAAGGCTGTAATCTTTACAAGCAGACTGCCATGTCTTTCTCCTGCAGAGCCGCTGGTGGGTTTGAACTGCTGACCTTTCTGTTAGCAGCCAAGCACTTTAAAAACTATACCACCAGGGTTCGGAAAGAGATTAGCTAAGAGCATATTCATTCACTCATTAGGCCATTTAGCAAATACTTAATGGTGCAACCACTACATGCCCAGCACTATCCTTGGTACATACTGAAAATACTCTACTTAACATTTTTGTCTTTCTGGTATGTTCCTTTAGCTACAGTCATCAATTTGCAGACAGGCATTACCAGCTCACTCTCCCTCTCTGGGGCTTGGCTTCCTAATCTACAAAGGTGGGAGTAGACAAGTAGATTTCTGCCCTCCCTCCTATACTTGACTTTCTCAGGCTTTGTGCACAATAATTGCTCAGTCCTCTTCACTACTGAGAACTGTGTTAAGATACCCAGTCTTGTCTGTCCCAGGCCCCACACCCTAGCCATGTCATCCCAGGCCCCAGGCTCCAGCCTTGTCCATCCCAGGCCCCATGCCCCAGCCTTGTCATTCCAGGCCCCACGCCCCAGCCTTGTCCATCCCAGGCCCCACGCCCCAGTCTTGTCATTCCAGGCCCCACGTCCCAGCCTTGTCCGTCCCAGGCCCCACGCCCCAGCCTTGTCCGTCCCAGGCCCCACGCCCCAGCCTTGTCCGTCCCAGGCCCCACGCCCCAGTCTTGTCATTCCAGGCCCCACGCCCCAGCCTTGTCCGGCCCAGGCCCCACTTGCAGCATAGGCCCTCAGGCTCAGGGATGGCCACTGTTCCAGTTTCGTCTCCTGCTCTCCCCTCAGCTCCCAGTGCTTTCTATCCTTTCCTAGTCACATGATGGTCCTGTCTCAGCCTTACCCTGTCACCTGCTGGGGCTGGCTCTCACCTCAAGATCATACCCTATTTCCATAACCCTTTCTCTAACTCCAACACTCATGCCTTTGTCCCAACACTCAAGTCAGTTTCTGCCCTCCCCGGTCTCAGCAAAGCCCTCCAACTGAAAGGAAGCAGGGTGTCATCATCTGAGGGTCCTGAAAACAAAAGAAACCAGGACACCCTTCCCCTATTGTTCCCCACCCCCCGTTCCCTTGCGCTGGAAAAGAGACAACCGGCTTCCTGGAGTGAGATTGGTTATTTCACTCTATCAGTGCACGAGTATTCTATATAGAACTGGACTTGATCTACCATCAAATTTCTCGTTACTGAGATTCCTAACAACTCAAAAAATTGTTGAATCTCAGAGCTGAAAATGACCTCAAGTTGCATCGTAGCCAAGAAAAGGAAAATTACTCAAGCTGTTTACTTAATGTTCCAGTCAAGTTGCCTTACGAGGTATTTTAATTTGTAGGGCTGGGCAGGGAGTTCTGCTTCCCCCGTTGGAAAATGAGGAAGCACACCCCTGCTCTCACTGGGGCAGAGCAGGGGCAGGTCCTACCTTCTGCATTCCCAGAGGGAAGGTGACCGCAGCCAAGGTCTGGAGAAACTCCAGGGCATGCCACATAGGGTCCTGGGAGTAGGCACTGTGGACGAGGCCCAGGAACTGCAGCACGCTGGCCGGGAAGCTCTGTTCCCAGATGTCATCTTCAGAATCTGCTGAGGGCTAAGGACACGCTTCATGAGAGGGTGAGGCATGGAGCATGACTCAAGGCTGCACAACTAAGTGAGAGCAATTGAAACCTGGAAGAAGACCTTCTCTCTGAGACTTTGAACAAGACACATTATTGCAAGACATCTAAGGATATGGGTCAACACAGGATACTGGCTAACACATGGGGAGTGGTTTAATACATGTACAGTTCGACTCTGACCCCCATGGCATCACCATGAATCAGCGTCAACAGCAACTGGTTTTGGGGAGTCCCTGGCTGGTCTAACGGGTAACACCCTTGGCTGCTAACTGAAAGACTGGAGGTTCAAGTCCACCCAAAGGTGCCTTGCAAGAAAGGCCCGGGGATCTACTTCCAAAAAATCAGCCATTATGAACTCTGTGAAGCACAGTTCTACTCTGACACGCACAGGGTTGACTGGATGGCAACTGGTTATAATATGTACAACCACTGTTCTAAGGGCTTTATACATATTACTCTTCTCACCTTCACAACAACCTCTGAGGAAGGTGTTATGTTTACCCCTATTTTACAGATGAGAAAACTGAAGCACAGACAGGTTAAGAAACTTGCCAAAGGTCATCCTCTGGGTAAGGGGCAGAGTCAGGAACGGACCCCAGGCAGGGCAGCCTGGCTGTAAATTCTGGCTGTCTTCCCTGTATGGCCTCTATGGGATTGGACATGCCCTCATATGCACAAGGAACTTGACCATTAGGGTTAACCCGTTTTCCCCAGTCAGTGCTGACGCTCTTAGCTATAGATCCTGCCCTGGCTAATACCTGGTAAACCCTGTCTAAGGTTGTCAGGGCTTGAGGTGCCCAATACCCACCAGCCAGGGGTATGGAATGAATCATGTTGCATTGAGCCAGTACCAAGCCATCTGCTGTGGCCTGGGCACCTGATCTCCCTCTCTCCCGCCTGGCCTTGGCCACATGGCTTGGCCTCTGCCTTAAATCCCTGACTATGCTCCAGTGCCCTGCTGGAGCCCAGCTAGCTTGCTCAGCCCTTGCCCAGCCACTCTCTTCAGAGACCGACCCTGGCACCAATGGATCCAGCTGCTGTGTAGGGCCTAGTCTGTCCTAAATGAACAGCTGGAACTTAAAAACTGCCATCAGGACCATTCCCTGCATAGCCACACCAACACCAAGGCTGAGCGACACTCAGCCTACTCCTGTGGACACTACAGTGTGGACATTGGGCCCTTCCTTTGGGAGCCCAGTCACCCAGCTCCAGCCTCTCCCAGCTGTGGCTTCCTCGTTTTCCCACCAACTTGCTGCTTGGTCCTTGTGCAGTCTGCTTGAGCTGGAGCTTCCTGTTTACCAGGTAGCTAGCAAGTGCCTGGAACTGTGCCTCACACTGGGAAACTTAAATCCAATTGTAGAAAGAAAGGCAATGCACATGGGACAACCAGAAAGCAGTCTACAACCACACTCAGGACACCAGGGAAACTCTGGTGTGGCTGCAGCAGGTGGGCAGAGAAGCACCGTTTCTGGTCATCTGCATCTGAGTTCTAATGCTAGCTCCACCATGACCTTGCAGCTCAATATTAGGCACACAGGACTATGAGAGTTAAGAGAGTTTTTTTTTCTGGAGTTAGTCTGCCTAGGTTAGAATCTTGCCTCTGCCACTTATTAAGAGTGCACCTTTGGACCAGTTGCTGAACCTCCATACAACTCCAGTTCCAGCTACGTAAAGCAAGGATCATAATACGACCTATTTCATAAGGTCGTTGTGAGGATTAAAGGAGATATTTTAGTGATTCGTTCTTATTTTCATAGTGACTTTCAACTCGACAGCTACTAATAACATCAGCACAGAGTAAATACAGCAGAATCTGGGAGACAAGGTGAAATGGGTAGGGGGAGTCAGATATAGAGGACTAGGACATTTGGAAGAGGAATTTGATTTGATGTATCGGGCAATAGGGATCCCTGGAGGTTCTTACGCACAGCAGTGACCTGGATGCTACGCTAATTCTGAACACACTGCCTCCACCACACCCTTGCTCTCCAACCTCCCTCGAGTGAGTTAGTCACAATAGCTTCCATTTCTACATTAGTACAATGAGGATAATTCTGTCTATTTCAAAGTATTGTTGCACAGGCAGAATGACTAAAATCATAACGTAACACATTGGCAAGGATGTGGAGCAACCAGTACTCTCCTAGAATAATCGCTAGTGAGAGTGTATATTGGCATATCTACTTTGGAGAACTATTTGACAATATCCATTAAAGCTAATCATGTGTATACCTTATGACCCGTAATTTACTTTGGGTGTACACACAACAGAAAGGACTACATATGCCCACCAAAAGATACATACAACAATGCTCATAACAGCTTCATTCATAGTATTTTGAAACCAGGAACAACTCAGAATGGATACATAAATTGTCATGTATTACCACAATAGGCTACTACTCAACAATAAATAAGAATGAACTACTGATACACACAAACATGAGTGAATTCTGCAAACACAATGATGAGTGAAAGAAGCCAGACATGGGAGGAGGGCCACAAGATAGCGGAGTAGTCAGATGCTTCGTGTTGTCCCTCTAACAACAAAAACCCGAAAAAACAAGTGAATGGGATATATACGACAATCTAGGAACCCTAAGTATCAAAGACAAAGCTAAAGAATCAGACTGAGCAACAGGTAGAAGGAAAGATAGTTCAAAAATAGCAGAAACAGAGAATTACAGATCCCCAGTGTCCTGCTAGCAGAAACTGCACAGTGTGGACAGTTGAGACAAGCAGCACCATCCCCAGCCGAAACCCATCCCATCTGGTGCAGTTAAGCAGGAGCAACTCTGCACACACATCCAGAGTCAGCCAGGAGTGATTCCAGTCCTGCAAAAGTTAAGTGCACACACTCAACCCACCACACACACCCCGGCGCCCCCACCAGAGCTCCAAAGCCCAAGGTGCACTCCCTCCCCTTAACCCATCCGCCTCCCCACCCCGACACCAGTCCACCAGCATTCAACACTGCCACACCCCCTAAGCCGAGAACTCTCAGCCTGGTTCGAGACACCCATCCCTTCACCTAGCCACTGGTGCAGGGGGTCCAGGGACTTGCAGCATCCTCCACCCCCTCCAATCACTTGCACCAGTGCCTTGCTGGCCAAGCCAGTAAACCACAGCCATATTAGGACAAGGTGGGCAGCATTCCCAGCTGAAGCCTACTTCACCTGTAGCAGCTAAGCGGGAGCTGTAGACCTGTGGAATTCACCAATGCCCTGCCCCCTAATATGAAGCTCAATCACCCATGCTGTGGGCCTGAGGGTCAGCAGTACTGCCCACCCCATCCAGCTGCCCACAACAGGGGCCTGAGGACTTGGTGGCGTCCCCCAATCCCTCCAGCCAATGGCACCAGGTACCTGAGGACCAGCTGCACAACCTCCCCCACAATGTTCTCTAGCAGACAGTGGCATGCCCTCTAACCAGCTAACCGTGGGGAGTTGACAGCCCCTTGTCTCGCCCACCCCCGAATCACCCCCTACTGCAACTGGAGGCTTGTGCCTGCTCTGAACACTGCCACACAGCCCTGCCTGACCCAGGACTGTTGATGAGGGTCTCTGCACCACCTACCCAGTGACCAACAAACTGTACACCTTCTCCCTGACCATTCGGTAAGCAGCGGAGCACACACACAACACTCAACCCAATGACAAGGAAGAACACCCCCTGCACCTACGGCCAGGTGACCAGCAGGACAGATATATCACCTCATCGAAAATGCCATCTACATCCTCAGCAATCCCACAAGAACAGCGAACAGGGACCCATGCTCATACACCTAGCCACTGCTCCGCCCACCCAGAGACAGGAGGTGACAGGTTCAGTGTGGCCAGATTAGCAATCAGAGCAGCACACATGCCCAGTCTACTCAGATATAACAAAACAAAAGTTCAGGATTCAGTAAACAAACATACAATAAATAAATAAATACAACTTCTAGATGACTCGGATACAACACACAGTAGCAAATCACAGGAAGAAGCAGGACAAGATGGTTCCAGCAAGTGACCAAAATAAAGAACCAGAAAATCTTCTGAAGGAAGATAAGGCTATGGAATTACCTGATAAAGAATTCAAAACACTAATATACAGAGCTCTCCAAGAGATCAAGAAAGAGATCAGGGAAAACACAGACAAAATCAAGGAAAACACAGACAAAGCAATAGAATAATTCAGGAAAACAATACAAGAACAAAATGACAGAATAAATAGGCTACTAGAAAACATACAAAAACAACAACTAGAAATTCAAAACATTAACAATAAAATTACAGAATTAGACAACTCAACAGAAGGACATAGGAGCAGAATTGAGACAATGGAACACAGAATTAGTGAGATTGAAGACAAATTCCTTAATACCAATTTGTATGAGGAAAAATCAGAAATGAAGAAAAATGAAGAAAGCCTAAGAATTATCTGGGACACTGTCAAAAGGAAAAGCTTATGTGTGATCAGAGCCCCAGAACAGTGTGTGTGAGGGGGCAGGGGTGGATAATGGAAATCACAGAGAGAACTGTTCAAGATTTGCTGGCAGAAACTTCCCTAATACCATGAAAGACGAGAAGATATCCATCCAAGAAGCTTAACGAACCCCATACAGGATAGGCCCCAGAAGAAAGTCACTAAGACATATCATAATCAAACTTGCCAAAGTCAAAGACAAAGAAAGAATCCTAAGAGCAGCTAGGGAAAAATGAAAAGTCACTTACAAAGGAAAACCAATAACACTAAGCTCTGATTATTCAGCAGAAATCATGCAGGCAAGAAGGCATGGGATATATAAAGCCTTGAAGGAAAAAAACTGCCAGCCAAAAATTGTATGTCCAGTAAAACTGACTCTCAGATACAACGGCGAAATTAGGACATTTGCTGGTAAACAGAAATTAAGGGAATATGTTAAAAACCAGACCAAAATTACAAGAAATAGTAAAGGGAGTCCTCTGGTTAGAGAACCAACAACATT